TGTTTGGCATGGAAAGTTTATGTACACCGTGAACATGTGTTATCCTCTGCCTTGTTCCAGGGGTTGCTTATTATATTCCCTTCAACTACGAGCACATCACAGCCAACTTCACCCAATACTGAGAAGATGTATCTTCTGTTGCATATGAGCAAAAGATGGTTTGGCTTTTGTTCCTATCATTTCAAATCTGTGCCAATAAAAGTGGATATTAACAATGATACTCTATTCCTGAGCCACTGTGTGGAATAAACGATGCAGGTTCCTGGGGTGCATCATTGTGACTCGTGAAATAAAATTTCTGGCTTCTCAAAACAGACTGTCTGTTGTCATTTATACCAATCACAGGGAAGACGGAAAGACTCAGTGATATCTGGGGAGATGAATACAATCTTCTGGACTAAACGATACAACTACATATATGGGTAAACTATTAAAACTCCTACTTGGGTTTTTTATATGAAGTGTTCCTTTACAACTCACCTAATACAGACACATATGCAGATACATTTGTATTAAATGAGCAAAATCATTCCACATATAATTCCAAAATGGTTTTTACTTCAGTAAATGATATCATACCTTCTAGTTTTTCTGGGTAAATTCATGTTTCAAATTGTTTCATGGTTGTGGAGGAGGCAAGAGAGAGAGCTTGCTTGGCAGGGAAGAGTACTTGGCCTCAATGTGAGCACCCATGTGGTAGCTCACAACTGTGTAAAGGGAATCTCTTATAAGCATCACCTGTCAATAAAAAGGCTGATGGCCAATGGGCTAAGGCAAGAAATAGGAGGTGGGACACTGGCAGGAAAAAAGAGGATTCTGGGAAATAGAGTGCAAAAGAGAGATTTAAGAGAATGAAGAGAAGAGAGCCATGAGGAAACATAAACCAGAAGGTAGATGAACTCAGGGAGATGCTGAGAGAGATACTGAGGAGACACACAGACAGAAGCAGGCCAGGACTGAAGAAAAGGTAACTAACCACATGGTAGACATAGAATAGTTTAAATGAGTTAAATAAATTAAGAGCTAGTCAGGGAATGAGCCAAAGCTTATGGCCTAGACATTAATAGTAAATAATTAGTCTCAGAGCTGTCATTCCAGGAGCTGGGGCTGAAAAGGAAAAATTTTTTAAAAATTGTTCTTACACAACTGTTTGTACCTCCATTCCTGGGCAATCCAACACCCTCTTCTGGCCACTGTATGTGCATGATACACAGACATACATGCACATACATAAAAACACAAGAAACACCCATACATAAAATAAAATCTAAAAATTAAAGATGTTCCTAAGGGATCAAGAGGTTGATTGGTGGATAAAATGCATGTTGTACAATCATGAAGAACTGAGTCTGGTTCCCCCAGCACCCACATAAAATAGTCAGGCACGGGATCATGTGAACATCCACAAAACCAGGACTGGGGAAATAGAAATAGGCAAGTTCTGGAGGCTTACTTGCCAGGCAGTATAACTAAACAACAGGATCCAGTTTCAGTTAAAGGCCCTATCTCAAAGACTAAGATGGAGCACACTTTAGGAAACACCTGATGTTGGTCTCCGCCCTCCACATCTGTGTACATGGACAAGCACTTCCAAATATGTACACCCACCTAAACCAAACATACACAAAAATAAAGCAATAGTCTTCAAACAGTGTGAGAAGAAATCTGAATTGGGAAGCAAAAGACTGAGCCACCATTCTGATCATGCATGTAATAAACGCAATGGCTCACCTGGGCAAGGACCCAACTAAAACACCAGTTTCCTCTTTGGGAAATGAAGAGCCTGGTCTATCCTTAGCATAGAAAAAGTTAAAGAATTGTCATCATAGTAGGCATTGTGGTGCCCACTTGTAATTCCAACACATAGGAGGATGCAGACTGGGATATACACTGAGAAAGAGGAGAGAGAACCTTTAGGATATGTAAGTTGTTCAGAATAATAGAACAATAACAAAAACATACTGGCTGGAATAAAAAAAATGAATTCAAATGTAACTGTCCCATCGGGTCACAAACACTTGCATAAGCTCATGATTACATCATTCATAGCGCTCAAGAATGCACTTGGCTTGGGTGTCTGATTACAGGCATATTGGGCCCTCTAATGGCTACAGATAGTAAAGCCTAAACTTTGGAGGAGTAGCCAGTCATATATATTTTTGTAATGCTGGAAGGAAAACAGAAAGGAAGATGTTTTCCCCAAGTAAGAAATGTAAGTGACCTATGTTAAGTACAAGTACAACACCCTCCAAAGAAACTGGAACCAAATAGATGAAACTTTCTACCCCTTCCAGTGGAGACACAGAAAAGGCAAGTCTGCATAGTGAGAAAGATGATTTCCATCTATAAAACTAGGCAGTAGTTAGGAAACCCAACATATAACAGAAGGTTTTAAAATAAGCATTCTATTTAAATTAGTACACATAGTAATGAGCTTTGTTATGAGATATTTGCATATATTTTACTCTTCTCGATCCTCTCCCTGCCCCATCCTCTGCTGGGACCTTTCCATGTCCCTCTTATCCTTTCATGTCACATGGATTCCATTACCCTTTTTCTCTTCTCTTTCAGCCTTCCCCGACTCTCTCTCTCTTAAGACTTCTCCTCCCATTGGTTCCCTTTCTAGTTTCAGCACAACTCGCACAAATTAAAACCAAGAATCTGCCTATGAGACATAACAAGCAGTTTTGAAGTGATAAAGGAAAAGTGAACAAGTGCATAAAAAACAAACAAACTAGCATACATACAAGCAAACCACAAAAGCTGAAATCAAAAGCATGAGGGGAAGCTAGATATCAGTCATCAATGAAGAAAGAGAACTGACATATTACCACTGTGTGACTTATAATAGATTAGACTGAAAGATGTTATCAGACATCAACTTTAGTCAACTATTTCACCCAGCTTTTGTTCACTACCTTTATCCGGAAAGTGTTGGACTGATATCTTGCTGTTTGTGGTTGCTATTGTGTTTCTTCATTGCTCTATCACTTAAAAATGGCAACTGCTAATGGCTAGAGAGATGGCTCAACTAACTGTTAAGAGCAATTGCTGTTCTTTCAGAGGACTTCATTTCAGGTGCCTGTGGTTAGTTACCAAGCACCTGAGCAGCAACTACAGCTCCCTCTTCTGGCCGATGTGGGCACCTGCACATACACGCAAATGTCTTGAAAAATTGTCCCTTAATGTTACAGAGAACATAATTTCAAAATCTAAATACCTAATACAACATAATACAACACTGAATTAAATTTAGGGGGAAACTGTCCCTTGGCTCAGTGCTATTTTAAGTAAAGAGATAATAGTAAAAATAAGACAGAAAGGACAGGGTTCTCTATTTCTTCATTTTTAGACTCCTCCCAATCAAGGTGCTTGCCTCTGATCAAGCACCTTTCTTGACCTTCCTGGGATGGGTGGCACCTGTTGTGGAATAAATTACATCTCTTTTTAAAAGAGGGGAGTTGGAGTCCTGATCCCTCTCTGCTCCTTCAAAATGTGGCCTTTTGCCAGGGCAGAAGGACGAACATGGTCTTTACAAAGGTAAACAAGTTAAAATTATGTCCTTAGGGTAGATTTGTAAAGTCTATTTATAATTGGGAAGCAGCTGTGCTGCACAGGTGTACAGATTTGTAAGTAATTTCCCCAGGATATCTTATCTACAAGCATTGTAGGTTGTACTTACTGTTTGTGAAATTAATTCTTAAGGGCACACAGATTTAACATGACTTAGACATAACACACATCAGTATCGTTTGCTAATCCCATTTGTTTCCTAAAAGCTTGGATACAAATCCTCTTGTTCTAATGATTACAAAGCTCTAGTCTCAGGAAAAAATAATGTGCCCAACATTTCCAAAAGGATAATTATACAGTACTTAATTTCCCTTTGTTATTAAGTTATGGTGTGGTTCATTCACTAACTCTCATTCTCTGGAACAGCAGCCAACCCCCTTAACTGCCCTGTCATTTCTCCAGCTCCTTCTCTTGGATTTCTTGAAGGGAAATTTTTGAAGACAGAACTCTGCCCCTCTTCTGTGAAGACAAGGGTAAATTTTGAAACCAAACTGATCATTTATAGAAATAGATTAATCCTGTTAAACTATGCCAGCTTGAGATGACCACCGTGCCAAACCAGAACTGAAGCAATGATCAACCAGACACCTAGATCAGGGCTGCTTAATTATGCATACTTTTTAGCCAGCTCCCCACTCGATACCCCAATTCATCCTCTAGTTAAACTTAAAGGTGCCAGGAGTGGTGGTACATGCCTTTAATCTCACACTGAGGAGACTGAGGCAGGTAGATCTCAGTGAGTTCGAGGCCAGCCCGATCTACATAGTGAGTTCTAGGACAGCCAGAACTACATAGAGATTCTGTCTCAAATAAATAAATAAATAAATAAATAAATAAATAAATAAATAAATAAATGGCTTAAAGCTCATATCGGGGTCATGAAGCCAGTCTCGAATGGTCTTTGGAGCCCGTCATCTGTTACTCCAAATGAAACAACCTTAAATGAATGGCTTTTCGCCATTACTTTCTTTAATTAGCATATTGAGGACAGGTGATGGAACCTAGCGGGTTGGGACTACTCAAGTCAGTGCTTTTACTTTGAAAACTCCAGCTACAGATCTTCTGATTTGTCAAGACCAAACTCAGTAAACGCACAATAAATAAGCCAATGACAAATCAATGGCATCTTTCTATGTCCCTAGAAAAGGGACATAAATATAGGGAAAGTTAAGGGAAGAACTTGCCTATCAAACCTCCGGCTTTCACAGCTTTTTATCCCAAGGAGAAAACCCAGAGCAATCATTAAGCAGAGAGAAAAAAAAAAATGAAGACCCTCTTGGAAACTTGAAACACCTTGGGCGTGGCTCGGAGTGCAGGACCTTTAATCCGCAAACATCTGCTTCGGAACCAGGTGCTGGGCTCAAGTTTCCTTTACTTCCGCAGGACTCTGTAAAAGAAGGAACAGAATAACGTCACTTCCGGTCTTTTGTCCTCCGGCCAACCAAACGCTGAACTGAGGAAAGTTACTTTGTCGCGGAGAGGAACCTGACGCGGCTGAACGCTCGTGGCCATGTGGAGGCTGCTGACGCGCGTCCCCGCGCCGCTCCTGCGGATGCAATTTCCAGGTCAGAAAAGCTGTTTGATTTTTTAAAAAGGCATCTCCCTGTTCTTCCTCTCCACATTCCAAAGTATATGCTTACTCTGATAGGACCTGCCTCTTTCCTTCTCCCACTTCCACAATTCGAATGCCTGAGTCCTGGTCATGTGAGGGAGAGGTGCTCCGTGATCCTAGTTGCTTCCTTGGGAGCCCATTTAGTGGAATTCGTACCCCCATACTTCTAGTCACTTCTGTCAAGAGTGATCCGGAGTGTAACAATAATGGTTTGATTTGTCTTTATAGATTCTTGGGCAGCCCTTCCCACAAGTGCTGGTCTGAAGACGCTCCTCCCAGTTCCATCTTTTGAAGGTGAGTACTTGTCATTTCCACATTTTTTTTTCCTCTGATAAAAGACAGTGTAGGTGTACTTGTACTTCCTCCCTTCATTGAGTGATTCAATAAATATATGTAAGGAAGGCGAACTGTGCTGCCAAGCAGTGTTCCAAGCATTAGAGGCAAAGAACAAAAGAAACCATAAAAGTCCCTCACTGTTGCAAAGCAAATAACTATTGGGTTAGTCCCCAGGCATTCTACCACTGATATGTGTGGCCCATGATCTACCCACTCAGCACTAACTGGGCATTATTAGATGTTTTTAATCTTCTCTGTAAATAATAGTACATATATGCAGACACTTAGCAATAGTAACCAGGTGCACTGCAGTCCTGTAATTCTAACTTACTCTTTAATATACTAAAAACTCCAAAAAATGCAAATGACCTGGACATCTGAGGGTCTTCTGCACATAACTGTTGAACTACTGTGTGGGCTGGAGCAATTAATTGTACCAGTTAATTGTTGCCCTTGTTGCCCTTGCAGAGAACCCAGGTTCAATTCTCAGAACCTACAAGATGGTTCATAACCGTCTGTGACTCCAGCTTCAGGAGTTCCTACAGCCTCTTCTGCACATCAATACATGCAGACAAAACACTCATAAAATTTTTAATAAAGTGCTGTGCGCGCTTAGAAGTGAACACTAACTTGCAAGTGAACGAAAGTATTACCAGGTCTCATAGTAGCTGCCCGTAAAAGTCAGTGGGGGGGAAGTTGGAACAGCAACTTTATAATTCCACTGATAATCTGATGACTCGTTGAGGCTTCCTGTTTTGTTTATTTCTATCATGGAGCCACTCTTTTTCATATTTATTTTTTTTAAGAATCACAATTATTTTTCCCAAGTTGTCATATAGAGGATAAAGATGTTAAAATACTGACCAGAGAAATCCTTGTTTGTAAGTTCACCAAGAAAAATACAACAGAATTAAAGAACTTTCTTTTTTTACAATATAGTATTCTGTCCCCCACCCCCATTAGAATCTAGGGGAACTGTGGCTTTTTTTTTTTTTTTAGAACATGCTTCTGGCTTTGAAGTTTTAACTGAGTTAATTGTGAAATGTCTCTACACCTTACGTTCCTCTTCTTTAAAGTGGAGATTAGAATACCACCTGCCCAGGGTGAAAATTATGTTTGTTTACAGTTTTTTTATTTACTTGTATTTATTTTGCATCCATGTACTTGTATGGGTGCTTATGTGTCATGGCATATATGTGGAGGTCAGCAGACTACTTATGGGAGTCAGTTCTCTCCTTCCACCATGTGGGCCCTAAGGATCCAACTCAGATGGGCAAGCAGTGCTTTTTACTGGTTGAGACATCTCCTGGGTCCCTTGTTTTCAATTTCTAATATTTAGCTTTGCATTTACCCCCTCTGTCTGTTTAGTGTTGAAGCCCTAAAAAATATAAAGGTTGCCAGGCATTGTGACATAACACTCAGTCCAGCACTTCTTACCGGTTCGAGGTTACACAGTGATCATATGACACCCATGAAGACTGTCTCAACCCTCTGCATACATGTTATGGTTGTATAGCGAAGTCCTCTTGTGGGACTCCTAACGGGGGGCTGTCTCTGGCTCTCTTGACAGCTTTTGAGACCCTTTTCCTCATTCTGGGTTGCCTCATCCAGCCTTAACACGACAGGAGGTGCCTAGTTGTACTGCACCTTGATATGCCACATTTGCTTGATACTCATGAGGCCTGCCCTTTTCTGAATAGAAACAGGTGTGAGTAAATTGAGATGTCGGTAGAGGGGAGACAGCAGTTGGGATAGTTTTTTTTTTTGTTTTTGTTTTTTTTAAAGACAGTCTCAAAATACCAAAGCTGCTCTAACAGTGAATGAAGTAGTAATTTAGAAGCCCGGGGGTGGGGGGGGGGAGTGAATTTGGCTTAGATACATTTGCATAAGCATTGTTGTAGCTGAAAGGTTCCACTATCACTAGAAACATCCACAGTCAAATAATAAACACTGGAATTATTCTTCATTAACCTAAGGCTTCCTTCCGCTTGATTGTTGGGACTCTCCATAGGAGGAAGTAGGTCCTCTGGGTAGCATACTGTCACTTATACTCAGTTGTCCTTGCTCCTGCTAGATGTCTCCATCCCTGAAAGGACCAAGCTTAAATTTGTTGAGAGAGTCCCACTTGTGCCAAAAGTAAGAAGAGAACCTAAAAATTTGAAGGACATACGAGGGCCTTCAGCTGAAGCTACTGACTTCACAGAAGGCAATTTTGCAATTCTGGTGAGTGATAAGAGATTAAAGTTTTCTTCCCTTTGAGTTGATTCTGGTCTTTTCCTCCACATTAGAACTACCTACATCCACATTCTAACTGCTCTTTAAATAGATGTAGATCGAGGCTACTGGGTTCCCAAGGAAACATGGATTATATGTATTTCTTCAGTGTAGGATTGCACTGAATTCTGTCTATAAGCCCTGTGATAATGTATCAGTGGATCCGATAACCTAGTGGCCAAGCACCCAACAAGCAGGTATCCTATACAACAGGTATACACTGAACAGGCAAATAGTTCAGAGCCAGGTGAAATTGTGTTAGCAAAAAACTAACAAGGTAATGTTAGATTTTTATCTTGCTACTCCAAAACCATTTAGTTGAAAATTATAAGTTGTTTACAGAAGGGTCTCCACTTCTTATTTCAGATGGGTTGGAACTATAGAGGCAGTAAGGAAGATTACTGTAAAAGCAGAGAACGAAGGTGCTACCTCATTTCCCCAGTTATAACAAGATCTTTTCAAGCCTCTGGTAAAAATGAAGTATTTGTGGTTGAGAATTAAAACACCTGCTTCATTACTGTTTCTATAACGTGGTTTCTGTAAAGATTAATGTCAGTGCTACACACGTGGATATGTAACAGCACTTCTGGCAGCCAGAGTGATAGTTGTAAAGTCTTCTTCCCTGGCCTGTACTGTACCCTTGAGCGCTGCTGCTGACCTCTCAGAACCTTAATGCCCACTCTGCATTCCTCCTCTGTCCCAGCTACACTGGTTCTACTTAAACTCACCAAGCCCTTTATGTGTCAGGACATTTACAGCAATGTTTTTCTACCTGGGACTCTCCTCTTCTTTTCTGACTTGTTCTTAGGATTCTCTCCTCAGCTTTCAGTGTCATATCTGTAAAAAGTCCTCCCTGGGCTCTCCATGGTAGTGACTCCACCCTTGCTGTCTTTTATACTGTAGCCTGGGTGTTTCCTCCACATTACTAATCACAACTTAGATTTTTTCTTTTCATTAAAGCCGGTTACTATAAAAGAGGCATGATAGTAGACTCCATAATTTCTAAATCCCCCTGTGTTCTAATTTTCTATTTTTAGGCACTTGGAGGTGGTTATCTTCACTGGGGCCATTTTGAAATGATGCGCTTGACAATCAACCGCTTTATGGATCCCAAGAACATGTTTGCAATATGGCGAGTACCAGCCCCTTTCAAACCCATCACTCGCAAAGGTGTTGGGCAGCGCATGGGGGGAGGTAAAGGTGCCATTGATCATTATGTGACACCTGTGAAGACTGGCAGGCTCATAATAGAGATGGGTGGACGCTGTGAATTTGAAGAGGTAAAGGGTATCCTGAACCAAGTTGCTCACAAGTTACCCTTTCCAGCAAAGGCTGTGAGCCGTAAGACTCTAGAACAAATGCACCAAAATGAAAAAGAAAGAGAACTTAACAACCAAAATCCCTGGACCTTTGAGCGCATAGCCACTGCCAACATGTTTGGCATACGGAAATTCCTGAGCCCATATGATTTGACGCAGAAAGGGCGATATTGGGGCAAATTCTACATGCCCAAGCGTGTGTAGTGAAAGTGCAAGGAACATGTGCTCAAACTCCTGAGCGAGAATCTGCACCTTTACTGTCCTTAGGGTCTTTGGTGGTTCTTGGATCCTACCTAAGCACGTGAGTAAGTGACTTCTGAAAAACTGTGTCATCTGATTTATTCTAATTAAAGTTTGAGTGTAACCTCAGGGTACAACTTCTCTTTGGTCAGTTTCAGTTGCTTAAAGGATTAAGGACAGTTTGACATAGCCAACTCTCCCAGCACTCAGGAGGCAAAGATGGGTGGATCTCACTTGTGTTCAAGGCTAGTCACATCTACAAGCAAGATCCTGTCTCCCAAAAAAAAAAAAAAAGACTTGTCATATCTCCAGAACTGAAATCTGTCTTCACATCTCACAGCTCTGGAAATGTAAATGTGCATATTACCTAGTCTATGACATTTTGCTCATTACAAATGTATTTTTTGGAATAATAAAGATTAAAAACAACAGTACTTAGACTAGAGGATTCAACAGGTATTTATTAATGCCCAGCTGCCCATTTTCTGTCCATCTCAGAAGGGGAAACATGGAATATGACAAGGAATTTAGCAAAAGACCTGATAACAAAAGTTGAAACCCTTTTGGTGCTTCCTAGATCTGAAGCTATCTAAGGAGGGGCATTTCAGCTCTCTGTCTCATTAGAAGCTAATGTATGTGAAGCACACACATTGCTGGATAAATGAGGGTCCCGTGTGATCCGAAACTTCATGGTGCCAGCTTCATTCACTTGTCCATAACAAGATTAATCAGTTCTTCTGAGGGAACCAGCATTCCTTATTCAAACTCAAGAAACTAGGAGCTGATAGAAGTATAAACCATTTGCTTTTGAAGGTGAGTAGAAAACAGCATACTGGTAAAACATTGGTTTTTATACTGCTTTTTGAAAAATAAGATCCAGCAAAGAACAGAAGTATTTCACTTAATTTCAAAAGTTAGACCCAGTTTTTCATTTATTTTTAATAAATGTAAGATGTAATAGTCTCAAGTAAATTATTTTTTAAAGCGAAAAACAATGACACCTTGAATTAGGAACATCTTTGGACCAGTTTCTTCCACATTTCACTGACCTGCAGCTTCTGCTAACACAGACCTGGTGAGAGCTGAAGCAGCAGCCTCATTAAACTTGATCCCCTTGGGTTCCGTTGTTCGGATAACATGGTGTGCTGGTTTGGGAGATGGGTCATAGTATAAACTTCTTTCTTTTGTTGGAGGGACAAATTTACTGAATGAACCTCCATCCTGAGACCAACAATCATCTCTGACAAATAAAGTCTACTGATAGAAATTTATACCACCAATAGAAACCCAACTTCTATTTAACCACCACCATCCCTCAAAACAAAACACTGAAGTGTATGGTATGGTAATAGGGGGTGTTGCCATATTTTTCTATACGCCTCTGATTAATAATAAATCATGTTCCCAATGATACCTTAAAGAGTTTAAAAGCCAAGCTCATCCATGAATGAAATCAAAGCTTGACTACAAGTAAGCAGATATCTGAAAGTGTCAGGCACTGTGTGTGCTAAGCAGTAGGGACATGGTAATGTTTGAGATAGACATAGTGCCTATCCTTAAACAATCTAAGAATTAAAAACTGTTCTTGAACCCTCAAAGAGGAAGCAGATATCTGGTTGGTTAAGAGTGCAGCCTAGAAGAGCCATTAGAGTAAAAGTAGGGAGTACCATGATCTGAGAGACAGCCTCACAGAGTTCAGTTAAGACCCTGTTGCATTGGGCATGTTGTGATACCTGCCTCTTCACCACCATCCTGGCCTTCAGGCTCTGTGTGTTGTACCCTAAACAGGGACCCGTCATGCTAGTCTACCATGCAGGCCTGCCCTTTCAGGGCCATCTAAACCAGCTGTATATTGCTGTGCTCCCTGATCCTTCATCCCCAACCCTTTCAATTCCACATTTTCATTAATTTGTTCAAACTTGTTGTAACATTTAATAAGCAGTTGACTGGTGTCCTGTGTTTTAAGTTTCCTAATGAAAAGAGACATAGCTGAGGAAGACTGAAGGGGAGACATGATGGCACCACAGAGGTGGAAGATTGGAGATGCCCGTTGAGATCCCATCTGTGAGAGCAGAAGGAAGTAACAGAAAATGGAAAGAAAAATCATATATTACACAGCATGGTGTGCATGGCCAGGATACCACCTCCTCCACAGGGATGAGAAACTACTCTCTAAACTAGCTTGTCCTAACCTTGGAAGCAGATTTTAAGGCAAGTTCAATGCAAAAATTAATTCTATTACCATTTCCAGATACAAGGGCTCAAGATTTTACAACAGGGGTGGTCATCCCTCATGGTTGAGAAACACTATACTGCCAGACCTACTCCTAATTTTTCACCTACTTCTCTCCAAAACATCCCTTTTCCTTGGTTTTCTCCGCCATTCAGCTACTCCAGTGTCCAGGCCTCACCCACCCCCTTATTATGCAACCTGGTGACACCCAGAGCACCCAAAATACAGTGTGTCGAATAAGTGATAGCAGCCTGGCCCTCCCAGAAAGCTCACCTTTTTCAGGCAAATATGCCCCCAATGGTAGAAGCCAAGATGATGGCAAGGATAATACAGCAGATCATGATCATGATCTTCTTCTGCTCATCACAAGGAGAAAGAAATAATGAGAAATGGCATCACTGTGTGAATACACATTTTGACAAAACGGAGACAGATGTGGCCAGACATGGAGGAGGGACAGAAGGGACGGGGAATGCAGAAGGAAAATAGATGGATCTGGCTTGTGCAGAGAATATTTCCAGGTTAGAGACTTAGAATCAGACCCACAAGGATGTGTGTTGTCCTCTCTGCCTTCTGGATAGCATTCCAACAGATAGATCTACTTCCTTCTAGAGCAAGTAACAATTGCTTCTGGGGCACCAAAAGTCACCACATGGTGGCACCAAATCACCATTTTTGCAGAGAGATGGCCCCAGAGCTGTTTTGCAATCAATATAGTCATTTATTTTTAAATTAGCAATAAAATAATCAAGTTTACATTTAAAAATTACAAACTACAAAAGCCCTTCACATGTGGCATTTCAAACGTTCAGCCCCTGGCCTGAAGGAGGAGAGAAAAGGCCTGCACTAAGGGTTGTTTCCTCTCCTAGCTGGAGCCAGCCCTGCAAGACATCACAGCCATAGGGAGGAGGGCATCCCTGCAGCTCCTGTCTTAAGTGCTGGGTGACTGAAGAGGCGGTTTCACAAAAGAAGCTCATAGACAATGCCTAGAGTACTCATCCCATCTCACAGAAACATTAAATTGCGGGCTTAAGTACCCAAAATCAGGAATACTGGCAGGGACTACCAAAGGTCTAAGGCTTGCCACTGGGTTGCAATCATTAACAAAGATTTCCAGGCTATTGACTCCATGATAAGAATTACAGGAGACAAAGCAGAAAGAACTTTATAGCCTCCCTAATCTCCCACCAGAAACACCACATGGATAGTGTAAATAACATGTCATGAGATGTTCTCTGGACAACCCTCTTGTAAGCAGCAGATGGAGGTAAAAAAATATTACACACTATCTGCTACGCAGAAAACTTCAATGGGAATCAATTTAGTCCTTACTCCAAAGGTCTCATTTGATTCCCTTATCAGCAGCCATCCAGAAAACAAGCTTGATAGCAAGAGGAAAAAAAAATCACATTTCTACAATGATTCACTTGAGGTAAGCATATACTCCTTACCTGATGTTAGCCAAGCTTGCTTGCTCACGCTCTCGCTCTCGCTCTCGCTCTCGCTCTCGCTCTCGCTCTCGCTC